GAGGGGGCGTGGCCGACGCGTCGCGGGTGTTGATGGTGCGAGCCTCGAGGTGTCGGACGGATGCGATGCCGGTGAGACAAAGTATTCAATTATGTTAAACGGGCGAGGAAAAGGAGGCGAAGTAGGGAAAAACAAAGCGGGCATCCCTCCCCGGCTCCCCGCCCCGTTTTCACCGGGCCTAACTACCTAATTTCCCCGGATAATCGGGCCGAGCATGAGATGCCCAGCTTCCCGCCTATTCCAGCCAGGGTGCCGGATGAGACATGGGAAGGGTTATGTGCTACGACCTGCACGGTGAAGATGTAAAAATTTTGTTAACTTCATAAAATATAATTCTATTTTTGTTAAACTTCGGCAATGGACTTAGATATCATGGAACTTGTAGAAACGGGAAAATCTTCGATTTGAAAAATTGAAAAATAAAAATCATTGCCCGCATGTACTAGGAAGATGCACAAATTTCCTTAAACTTTGTAAAATGAAATTTCATTAAATTTTTTGAAACTTTAGCGGTAGGCTCAGCGTGAAACGTGTAAAAAAAAGTACGATCTTCGATTAGAAATTTTGAAAAATAAATATCATTGGTCAAATTTCCAAGTTACTTATCTTACTAATTTACTTATTTACTTGATGTGGGCAGCCCTTGAAAAATAGTTGAAATTTTACATTGAAAGTGAGATTTCACTTTTCTGCAAAATGAAATTTCACGGATTTCAATTTCGTGAAATTTCATTGTGCTTCCTCAGGCGTGTATATCGATAATTTCTCTTTGTGGAATTTACGTTGAAAATGGGTAGAAAACGGAAAAATCAAAAGTAAGTGACCATTATGCCCACGTTGATCACCCGTGGGAGAGGACCCATAAATCTACGGGGGAAAATTTTTCAAAAATGCGATTTTTATCGAATAGGTCTTTAGACTTTTCAACCGCGTTTTGTTTTAATGTTTAGTTGGATTTAGCTAAAAATACGACGTCTGACGTCTAAAAATTCATATTACTGAGCAAAAGAGCTCTTTCAACCACCAAGTGTTAAGAGCACGTACGTACTTCCTTCAGTGTTCCATTAGCTATGTTTTTGTCAAAACTTTCTTCACGGAGAAAAAAACTTTGTGCGTGGGACCCGAGGTTGAGGTCATATGGATCTCTGAAGTTTTCGGATCACGTATCTAAAAACTAGAGGTCGAGCTGCCGAAGTTCGGGTCACACATCTGAAGTACTCCGGTGCATATCAAAGTCCCTCGATGTCTGACCCGAACTTCGGCAGCTCGACCTCAAGTTTTCGGATGCGTGATCAGAAAACTTCAGAGATCCATATGACCTCAACTTCGGATCCTATGCACGAAGTTTTTTTTCTCCGTGTGGCAACGTTGCATGCAGGTAAGAGATGTTGCACGCGGGATTTTCTTGTATAACAGCGATGACCGATGCAAACGAGTCTTCCCAGGAGACCCGAGGGAGGCCTATTGCATTTGATACGAGTCTCTCAGTTACAAGCATTCTTTTTAATTTAATTAGCCCCTCGAAATTACGTTTTCTCGGCAAATCGCTATTAACCTTCCGATAATTTTACCGCGTTAACCGCTTTTCCACTGCCACTGCGCTCGGTGGGCTGAAATTGAACTCCTTGTAAGGGCGATTATTCTGATCGATCTGATAAAGGGTAAACTCAACAAAAAAGGAACAGTTTTTCTTAAAGAGCAAGGGGCTTGCTTCAAACATATTTGTTCGGGTCGTTACGTGCTTTCATTAATCGTCCGAGCCGTGTATGGGGATCTAGAGGTGGGAAAGAGAATCAACGAACGAACGAATCGAAATCAATCTACGAAGAATCAACTTGATTCTTCGTAGACGATCGCTGAATAAAAGCGGAACACGCTCTGATGCATACTTGGCATCATGTATTACGGTATGGCGCTCTGTTCGCCTTCATTTGACGAATAGGCAAAATCATCTCCTGCTTGTCGAGACAATCGCATCCAACAGATCGACCCATGACGGTCAGCGAGCCCTTGAAGGGGTGCAGAAAGTGTTCGATCGGCCAATTGCAAAGCGACCGAGGGGCAAATGTGAAGGCAGAAGGCATAAACCTGCAAAGCACACAGCTTTTTGCGAAGGAAACTGTGTAACGCGCTCTTTTATGCGAAGAAAATGGTTCAGCGCTCCAGTCTTTATGTGGACATCAGTTTGAAGGCAACCTAAATAAATGTGAGGACGAAGAACTTCCTGCACCCCTGCCCCTTAGTTGTCTCTGATAAATACATCCAAGAGTGTTTTGAGTAATTTTCACAATTATTAGCATTATTAATCATCTTAACTCAGGGTACTTACAATCAATAATAGAGGGGTAAAATTATCACCTACACTGTAAAAAACAGTATGCTGTTTTAGCACCTAGGATGTCAAAAATGTGTCTGGTGATCCCAAAATGCTGCTTTTACTGCCCTCGCAGTTAACTTTACATCCTACAAATGCAAATTCAACTGCGTGGGCAATCAATGTAGCATCTTAGGTTGACTAGACACATTTTTGACATCCTAGGTGCCAAAACAGCATACCACTTTTTTCGGCGTAGTGTTGAACAAGAACCACCATTGTTGGTTATGGCTACTGTCAACTAAAATTGTGTGCGAAACTTCTGTGGTCATTTTAACGACAGTATTCTCTCGGTGTAGACTTGTGGTCACACGACCCTCAGTCCAAGCTCACGACCTACCGATCTACACCTGGGGCTCTTCAGATT